ATCTTGACCGGAATTCTCCAAGGGGACAGTTCTTAATGGTTATAAATGCATAATTATTGTCAATCTATATAATAGCATATATCATTTTTTAAAATTGTTTTCTTTATTGATTTTTAGAGGGAGAGGGAGAGATAGATAGAAACATCGATGAGAGAGAACATCGACTGGCTACCTCCTGCATGACCCCACTGGGGATCGGGCCCACAACCTGGGCATGTGCCCTGACCAGGAATCAAACCGGTGATCTTTTTGTGCATGGGTCGACACTCAACCACACCAGCCGGGTAGCATATATCATTTTTAATTGGAGGGAATGACAGTTAAGGCTCAATGTATATGCTCATTCTTTAATTTAAAAAAATTTGGAATGGATATAAGTTGTGAATATTAGCATTATTAAAGATCAGCTCTAAAATCTAAGAAAAAAATTTTAAAGGCTGTATATAAAATAAATTTTTTAAAGTGGTTCCTTTGCATTCAGATTAACTAAAATATCATTTTAAAAAACTGAAATGAATTATATGAAATGCAGTTGAGCTCCTCATGTTTTTTACATTTCCCCTGGCATCTACAACCAGCAGAACTGGCGAATGCTTATGTCTGCTGCTATCACAAAGCTGCTTTAAAGAATCGTATGTATTTGGAATTCTAAACCATTTCGGATGTTTTAGTAGGCATCTCATCTCATTGACCACAGAGATGTATCTTTTGCCCAACTTTTAATGATTCCACGGGGTTTAATATGAATGTTATTATTATTATTATTATTTTGCTGACTTCCTTTTTTGACATGGTTGTAGATATCTTTATTTCTACAATCCAATTTTTCTTCTATTAATTCATAAACCAATAATTAACATTTCACTGAAGGGTAATTTATCATATATTCACCAAAAATAATTTGAGAAGCATTAGTAAAATGATTTAGTTATAATAAAACTTTTCTTTACCAGGACCCATTCAGCCATATAATGTAACTCTCTTCATCAACTTCTTACTTGTAAAACTTCCTAACAGTTGTAAAAAGTTTGCATTTTCTTAGATTTCTGTATTTGACTTTCAGACCAAGATGCTGTGCACATTAACATCTTGCTCAATAATGCAGGTGTTGAAAACTCAAGGTAGTAGGAAAGTATGCTTACAAGGATATTTTTCTTTAACACTCAAAGCCTTTCTTGTCTATAAACCTATAAGGTTGGCAGTATGGAGTCCTCTGCTATGCTTGAAGGAAAGGCCATTCCTTCCCCACTGAAACTCTCAGGTTGGTCACAGAAGGTACCTTGGCTGATCTCACTGTTTCTGATGCAAACAAAAAAGATACAATACCTGACACGTATTCTATGAACTTGGCTCTCTGTTTTTCAGATAATAGTGCAAAGGCTAAATTAGTCTCAAGATATAATAATAACTAGTAGTACAACTATAGTTTAGAAAGATACATTATTTCTATAATAAATATAATAACAATAAATTTTTTAACCCTAGAATTCTTTATTTGTTTCATGTGTCTGTTCTCTTTCCCCAGGGAAGTCATAAGTTTTTTGTTTTGTTTTGTTTCATTTTTTATCCTCACCCGAGGACACTTTTTGATATTTTGTTCAGATAGAGTGGGAGGGGGAGAGAAAGAGAAACATCGATGTGAAAGGGACACATCGAGTAGTTGCCACCCACATGACCCAACCAGGGCTGGGGACAAACTGCAACCGGGGAAGTCATAAGTTTTTAAGGTCAAGATCCATGTTCTTATTTATTTTGGATTCACTCACTTTTAGAACTTAGAACACAGTAAACAGATAATCAAGAAATGCTGACTCTCTTTACTGCTGCAGGTGCAAAGTGATGTAATCATCTAAAATTGCACTCTCATATATTTTAACGAAGCTAGATATTTCATAAAAAATAAATACATCAGTTTTTTGAGCACAATTATACATTTTAGAATAAAACATTTAATAAATGCTTTATATGAAGCATATGTCACAATTCTCTATCTAGAAAATGACTATCTCACACCAATAGAATAAACTCATTGAAAAAAAAGTTTTTCAGTATTTTGTCTTTATAGAGAAGGGAGTTCAGTAGTTTCATCAAAAATTTCAGGAAAAAAAAAGTTGGAGGAAAAAATGGGGGACATCTGTAATACTCTCAACAATAAAATTAAATTTAAAGATAAGAAATTTAAAAACATTAAATGAAATATAAAAAAATAAATTGAAGGGAATGAAAAATACTACAGTCTTAGTTAAGTATAATAAACAATATTTAGCACATCTCTACTTTCCACTACATGTTTATCTACTACCCTATATAAACTTATGACCATACACTTCGGCCATTAATATATGAAGTCCTCACTTATTGCTAGGTTTTGCAACTTTAAGCAAAATGATGTATAACAGAACCAATTTTACCATAGGCTAATTAATATAAAGAGTTATGTTCCTACAACATTTCAGCAATATCATAAAGAAACACTGAATGAAATGTTGTTATGTCTGTTATGATATTATTCCACAACAATAAGATCCATGAGAACAGAAGCCATGTGTCATACAGCTCTGCAGTGTTACCAACAGTCATAAAGTTTCAGCAATAGCACCTTATATATAACATTTAATGAATGAGTGAATAATCAAGTGGTATTGCACACATAAAGAGAAGCCAAAGCTTTAAACTCAGATAGACTTCGATTTTTAACTCTGGGTCTGTATTACCAGCTCTTAGACAGTGGGCAAACTACTTAATCTTTCAGCCTTAGTTTTCTCTTATATAAAATGTAAAGTTTCTTGCTACACAAAGATTAATAATCTCCATACTGAGTCGTGGCAGATATTAAATAAGATCATGTAAAAACACATCAGCATAGTGCCTGGAATATATTACGGATAAATAAAATGTAACTATTTTGTTAATTACCTTTGAAAGATTATTATGCATTAATTCATTAAATACATATATATTGAACACCTACTATGAGACAGGCACTTTGGAAAGTTCTGAGAAAAATAAAAGATAAATTAATAATTTCTAACATTTATTGAGTTACTATTTTATTCCAGATATTCTTCTCATACTTATCTAACACCTTTATGTCTATAGTCTGTGGGGTTTTTTTTTCTGCTGTGCTAAGGTACTTCTCGTGGACATGCATTTAGTTTTCAAGTGGCATGTGTTCTAATAAGATACACAGAACATTTAAAAAAATAACTACTAAAGAGTCCATTTTAAAAGTGCCACAAAGGAGGAAATTCAGGGGAGGAAAATGTTCTTCAAATAGTTTTAACACTACTTGGTACACATGCCATACGTTATCACTCAGGAGGCCATATTAGAATGGACAAAGCCAACTTGCTCCTCCATATTTTACTGACCCCAGTCTGAAAAGATGTTTCTGTGCCCTCTACTTCGTGTGGGATGCCTTACAGTTGTTATGCACCTATGAATAAGCAAAAGCAACTTCTTCATGTGGACAAGCAGATCTCTATTGTCACATTAACCCACAGAGTTAGAGTTCAAGGTAGTTCTAATTAGAATCTTTTCCTATATAAACCATTTTTTAAAAAAAAGACATTTCAATCATACATAAAAATATATCATCTGTGGTAGTTTCACTTGAAGAATAGAATTCTACAACAGTCAATAATACTGCATTATAAAATAACAGAGCATGCACTTTAAAATGATAGCGGTTTTCTAGATTATTTTTTCTATATAGTTTTCATACAGTTTCTCAGTAGCTAATAATGACTATCTGTGGAAGATATGGATACTACAAACTCATATTTTCTCATTTAGTTATCTAAAGTTTTCATGCTAAACACAGCAATCAAATTCTCATGTTAACTTTACAGAGAAATTCATAAGCATTGTAGTGATTTCAAGTATATCAGTTTTACAGAGAAAGTATTTTGAAGTATTTTTCTGCAAAGTCAGCAAAAACGCATAGTTGCTTCACTCTACAAATTCACTGTTGAATAACAGCTCTGGGAGAACTTCTAGATGGCCTTTTAAATGCTTCTTCCTGCTGATTCAGACTCAGACAAGCACTCTAGAGGTTCCTTATTAAACATCATCGACTTTCTGTTCAATAAATTTTTAAAAACTTTTTCCTGAAATAATTGCTCATCTTAATCTCATTATATCCCAGGATATAGTTTACTAACCCACAAACTCTTAAATTCTCTTATAAAAATAATTGTATCATTTTCTCTTGTCCCCACCCTGTCTCCAGGGGTCAGTTACTTATGTCTAATCCACTCACGTATTCTCAAACCCAATTCTTTCATTCACTCTGTCTCTTCCAAATTTAAACTCAGATTTCTCAGAAGTCTATTTCAGACTTGGTGCTCACTAACCCCCAAATAACATCTTTCTTTAGAGACCATTCTGTTTATTGCATTCATTACTCCAGTTTTCCAACAATAATGAATCGAATCTTTCAAGACATTGAGTATAGATTATTTCTATTTATTAAAATGCAGCAATTGAACAAAAGTTTCACCAAAGAAGAAAATGCACCTTTTTTTTTGTTTGTTTACTTAAAAGTTAAAGTTTTGTTTGTTTCTTTTGGGGTGGATAATAATTACATTCATTAAAATTGCGGTTCATTTCTCTTATATCCAGGTTAGGTTTTATATTTGCCTGTGCAACATTAAAATGTTTTTAGAGGACACTACTTTGTTGGTTATTTTATTTCCAACAGGACATGATACTGAAAATAATTTTAACAATAACCAAAATTATTTAAAGACAACACATGCATGACTTAAATAGAAATTATAAGGATACTTTTTTTTTTTTAGTATCACTTATTTGGAGGAAAAAATAACTTCCCACACTATATACTACAAAATGATTTTATTTATGCAAATCATTTTCAGGTATCATCTATCACAAAATGCCAATGCATTAACCAAGTTTCTAAGATCAACCACAAATTAGTAATAATATTATGAATATATAATAAATAAAATCCAATAATATAATATGAACTATTTTACCTTTGCATTATAGGGAATGTAATGTTTTGATAAAGCTTCTGGCGTATGCATCCATGTTTTGTCTGCAATGAAGAATACATACTGTTAACTTACATTACAGGTTCTGAGGGTATCATATGCATGCATTAGCATTTGTAGGGACTCTGATGAGAGCATTTCCAATTATGAGATTCTTTTGCTAAATTAAGAAAGAAAAACTAGTCTGATATAAGAACAAGGTAGCTGGAAAGTGATTATAGAATTCATTTCTTGATCTAAAAGTCCCTGCTTTTCTTTTTAAATGTTTTTAAATAATACAAGTGTTACTGAGTTTTTAAAGAATATGTAAGATAACAGCATCAGTTGGACTATGAATAATTATATCAGCCCTGGCCGGTTTGGCTCAGCAGTTAGAGCATCGCCTGCGATCCCGACAGACCCGGGTTCGGTTCCTGCTAAGGGCATGTATCTTGGTTGCAGTTTGTCCCCGGCCCTGGGGTCGTGTGGGTGGCAGCCACTCAATGTGTCCCTTTCACATAGATGTTTCTCTCTCTCTTCCTCTCTTTCCCTTCCACTCTATCTGAACAAAAAAAAAAAAAAAAAAAGAATAATTATATCAATTATGTGATTAATTTTATGATAACTTTCTCTTTTTACTCTCATAAATTACAGGTTATTTTTCTTAATTCTCAAATAAGTAAAAAGTAATTTTCTCTTTACTCATTACTTTTAGAAAAGAATTAACTATTTAGTAAAGGGAAATTTTAATATTAAACTAATTATTGCATTTATCTAAAACTGAAATAAATCAATCTACTAAGTTCATTTAGAAATCAATATATTAGGATAATTTTTAAATTTAAGCTTAGAGAAACACTGAGAATCTACTAATCAGCAGGTTTTTTTTTTTTTTTTATCCTCACCCGAGGACATTTTTCTATTTTTTTGTTCAGATAGAGTAGGAGGGAGAGAGAGAGAAAGAGAAACATCGACGTGAAAGGGACACATTGAGTAGTTGCAAACCCAACCAGGGCCAGGGACAAACTGCAACCGAGGTACGTGCCCTTAGCGGAAACCGAACCCAGGTCTCTCTGGACCGCAGCCGACGCTCTAACACGCTGAGCCAAACTGGCCAGCGCTAATCAGCAGTTTTTGATATAAATAATCTTAATTTGAAATGCCCCTTAGATTAGAGTATAAGAATGTTAGAAATAAAAGTAACTAAAAGGATAAAAGATATTTAAACTAACTTGTATATTATTGACGAAAATATAAAATATACTTTTCATTCAATTTTTGAACTTTATATCATCCCAAATATTTTGTGGACTACATACATTAAAAAAAAAGCAAAAAATATTAATGTTTAGTCAAACCAAATTTGTGTGTGTTTTTTATTGCATTTTTTTTGTACTAAAACTTCTCAATATTTAAATATGTTATGTCACTTTTAATGTAGTTTTGTATTTTATTCCTCATGCAAATTTTAAATTTTTTTTTTTATTTTTTATCCTCACCTGAGGACATTTTTTCCATTTTTTATTCAGATAGAGTGGGAGGGAGAGAGGAAGAGAGAGAAAGAGAGAAACATCGACGTGAAAGGGACACATCGAGTGGTTGCCACCTATACAACCTACCAGGGTCGGGGACAAACTGCAACCAAGGTACATGCCCTTAGCGGGAACCGAACCCGGGTCTCTCTGGACCGCAGGCCGACGCTCTAACCGCTGAGCCAAACTGGCCAGGGCCAAATTTTAAAATTTAGAATCACTATTATAAACAGAATAAAATCAAAGTCATATTTTACCATAACAGATATTAACTAAGTACACACTAGAAGGAAATATTGAAATACTAACAAAAAATTTTCAACACTGAATTCAAAACCTTTGAAAATATTGTTAACAGAACCTAGTCTGACAGCATTAACATGTTCTTCTCAAACTGGGGGAATGTGAAGACAGAAAAAATGGCATATATTTCTGGAATGTCAATTATTTTATACCATTTGAAAGATAATGCACTATGCTTATATTAAACATGTTTCTGGAGTACAATGCAATATTCACAAGAATTTTTAAGATAAAACATAAGGGATCAATTAAATACCATGCTTTTGGTGCATTTCAGGGCTCTTCCTGACTACTGAAGTGGATATATAAGAACTGTACTTGTGCCCTGGCTGGTTTGGCTCAGCGGTTGGAGCGTCGGCCTGCGGTCCAGAGAGACCCGGGTTCGGTTCCCGCTAAGGGCATGTACCTCGGTTGCAGTTTGTCCCCGGCCCTGGTTGGCCGTGCGGGTGGCAGCCACTCGATGTGTCCCTTTCACGTCGATGTTTCTCTCTCTCTCTGTTCCTCTCTCTCCCTCCCACTCTACCTGAATAAAAAATGGAAAAATGTCCTCAGGTGAGGATAAAATAAATAAATAAAATAAATAAATAAATAAAAAACCAGCATTAAAAAAAAAACAAAAACTGTACTTGGGTGAAGCAATTTGAGAAGCAATACATTCTAAGCTTCAAAAAACAATATTGACATACTGACATTAACATAAAGGTTGGAAACTAATTTCTTTATTATAGTTTTCTTTTTATGATTGCTACTGGATAGGACATGATTAATTTAAGAATAATTTGTACTTATTTTTGGAACATAGTCTTTCCCTCGTGTATTAAAAGAAAGAAATCACAATACTATACACCAAAACAATTAAAATACCAAAATAATAAAAACACCAAAGACCGCATTTAGGAAACCTAAAAAGATATCCAATTTTTTTTTTTAACCCCTTAACTCAATTCTTCTCATGTGTCTTTTTGTAAGACATTCAAAACTGCTCAGGAGGATGTAAAGTCTGACTACAGTCTGAATATGATGGTTCACTCCAATCCTGAGGCCAAGAGATAACTGCTTTCTCCAGTAAGCTACTATTATTTGAAAGACTGATGATATTACCTCTGTTATAGTCTCATATTTCAGGGGCCTAGAAAGAAGGTAAGTATATCCAGCTGTTACTTGTGATAGACTGAAATAATTGCAATATTAAATGACTACTGCACAAGCTGCAGTTGCTAGAATGACAAAAAATTTATATCCACACGTCAAGTGCAGATAGTTTAGTGGTTGTTTATTACTTACCTCTAGTATAGGTAGTACACTTATAAAACCTGAAGAGTTTCCAAAAATGAGTCCTTACTGTCATCCTAATTTACACGTTGGCAAAAGAAAAAAACTGACAGAATAAAACTCTTTATATTAATTTATATAGATGAGGTTGACCTTGAGGAGCTAGTACAGATGATGGTCCATGGTCACTGTATGTGTCCTCAGAAGCAATTAGATGCATGTAACTGGTTTAGAAAGGGGAGCATAGACATTCTAGAATGTGTCCCCTGAAGTTAAACTATAGTTACTGACTCAATAGTGGACAGTCACACAAAATGAAAATATTTAAATATTCAAAATGTTTAACAAGTATCCAACCACTCTCACTTCTGGGTCAATAAATTTATGTATTCAAAATGCATTAAGATTAAGAACTCATCAAGAAAGAAGCAGTGCCCTGGCAGGTTGCTCAGTGGTTAGAGCCTTGGGCTGCGGTCCAGAGAGACCGGGGGTTCGGTTCCCGTTAAGGGCACGTACCTTGGTTGTAGTTTGTCCCTGGCCCTGGTTGGGTCGTGTGGGTGGCAACTACTCAATGTGTCCCTTTCACGTTGATGTTTCTATCTCTCTCTCTCTTCCTCTCTCTCCCTCCCACTCTATCTGAACAAAAGACAAAAAAATGTTCTCGGGTGAGAAAAAAAAAAAATGCAGTAACTTCATTATTCTTGTACCACAGAGCTTAATACTTTGAGCATATTACATTTAAAACTAAATGTTGTTGGATGAATGGATCATAAAAAGGGAAATAATATTTAAATACTGAATTCTAAGTGCTATGTACTATGATTATGTCTACTCATCAGTATGTTAACTGCTAAATTAAGGAAAATAAAATGTAATTAGCTAAATTATTTAATCACATTTTTTTAACATGCTAGGTTTACGTTTTTTACTAAATTGTTCATTTTTATGCAACAAATATAATTTGTATTTTAAAAATTCAGATAGAGCCCAGCCAGTGTGGCTCAGTGGTTGAGTGTTGACCCATGCACCAAGAGTTCACCAGTTCAATTCCTGGTCAGGACACATGTCCAGGTTGTGGGCCAGATCCCCAGTTGGGGGCATGCAGGAGGCGGCCAATCGATGTTCTCTTTCATTGATGTTTCTATCTCTTTCTCCCTCTCCTTTCCTCTCCCTCTAAAATCAACAAAGAAAAAAAAAATTCAGATAGAAAGCTAATGTAGGGAAAGGAGTTATAAAAAAATTACATTGCCCAGCCAGTGTGGCTCAGTGGTTGAGCATCGACCCATGAACCAAGAGGTCACTGTTTCGATTCCTCGTCAAGACACATGCTGATGGTAGCTACTGAAAAGATGAAGTAAATTATACATCATCTAGGGCTATACTTAAGTTCCCAATTGTTAGGATACATGGATTATCTCATATAATTCAAGTTTTCCAACTCAACGTAAATTCAAATAGTAGTACTGGCTGAAACTGGGAGCAGAGGCTCTAAAATCTGTTCCTTTAACAACCGCACTAAATAAGAGATTCAGAAGTGATTGGTGAACTTAAGGTGGAACTTCCAGCATCAAGTTGTAACTTGGAATTAGAGTAAAGTATTGATCAATAATTTCCTAATAAGTATATTTAACCATTAGACCTGAAAAATAAGAGAAATCAAAAGAAATTAAAAAAATGAAAACAAGTAGGAAATAAGTATTTCAGCTTCTTGATTCTCTAAATTACATTAATTTCCTCATGGTTATAGTTCCACTGTCTTCAAATAAGACAAAATATACAATTGTTACTCATATTGCCATCCAACTGTTGGAGTTTCTCAATGAAAAAGCCCTCTAAATTCCTTTAAAATAAGGAGTAGATTAGAAATGTGGAGTTTTAACTTTAAAACCATGGGAAAGGGAATTATAAGTAAATAAAAAGACATGGTCCAGGATGGTTTTAAAAAAATAAGATAGTGTGATTAAAGCAATGAGTTGAGATGTAAAGCTTTTTATTACTCTATTAGAAATACTTCATATGATTATTCCTAGATTTTTTTTTACTAGTAAAGGGAATAAAAAAAAAGAAATATTTTACTTTTGGTATATGTTTTAAATCAGAAGCAAGCTACAGACCATAATGTCACTTTGCCTTCCCCTTATTCAGAAAAAAGTAAGTAAAATAATAAATTCCTAGCTTCCCAGGGTTGAAAATATCTGACAGTTCACATTACCTAAACCCCACCAGAATGGATTAATCCCCTGCATCACATCCAAATGAACACCTCTTGCTTCAGTAACAAAGAAGCCAGTACTTTGAGTAATCAAATTATATATTTGCACAGCTTTATCGAAAAAATTTTCCTACATTAAATCAATGACCACATAATTTGTACCTATTTGTCCTTTATTAAATTTAGTCTCATGACCAAATGATCGCCTTTCAAGCATTGAAAGACAATTCCCATTATCATACCAAGGTTCTTGGCTATGCTTCCCTGCTGCATGGTTGAAAGTCCTAAAGTGTTCCCAGCCTTTCTCAACGGGGCACATCACATGTGTCAATTAATCTTTTAAAGAGAAAACACACTGTTCCTGACTGCATCGACTAGAACAGAATGATCTGTTCCTGGGTTCTGGATTGCTCATTATTCATATATTAGAAAATGAACTAGAACTTTGATAATGACACTGGTGACTTTATTCTTCAGTCATTTATTATTATTTTTAATTGAGTTTAGAGAGAGAGAGGAGTAGAGAGGGAGAAAGACAGAATCATCAATGAGAGAGAACATCGATTGGCTGCCCCTTGCTTGCCTCCCATTGGGGATTGGGCCCACAATGTGGGCATGTGCCCTGACTGGGAATCGAATCAGCAACCTCTCGGTGCATGGGTCTATGCTCAACCAACTGAGTGGCTCACTTATTAGTCAATAAAAAGTAAAGCAGCTCTGACTACGTAGCTCAATTGGATGGAGCATCATCCCATATACCAAAAGGTTGTGGGTTCGATCCCCAGTCAGGTCACTTACAGGAGGCAACCAATCAATGTTTTTTCCTCACATTGATGTTTCTCTTTCTCTCAATCTCACTCTTTCTCTCTAAACATATCCTCAGGGAAGGATTAAAAAAAAAAAAATAGTAAAGCATACTCACACATATACACATCCACAGTGAATTTAAATCAAGGTAACTTTATGCAAACCCAAAGAATTTAGTGTTATTTGGCTACGTAAGGTGAAGTTAGAAGTAGTTTCAGATCATTTTATTTTTTGCAATTTCACACCACAAAATAACATTGTAAGAGACCATATTATCACGAATGTATTCTGCACTAAGTATATTAAATCATTCCACTCTTTCATTAGGGTGATAATCGAAAAGGGTTAACTGGCAATGTTTGCAAATTTATGTAATTTATCCTAACTTCATTCTTGAACCATGTGGTTTGATAACAGGAAAAACTAATTGCTTAATATCTCTGTTTGATTTTCATAGTAATTAATATTGAATTGACCCTAGGGCCATTAAATGGATACACTTACCTTTCTTTCTGCTAAAAGCACGGTTCATGATGAAAGCCAGCCAAATAGGTGTTCAATTCAATCACACTTTATACCCTACAAAAATATCAAAATATTAAAGCAATAAATAAAGAAATGTTAAACAATCTCTTTTATGCAAATGCATTTTAATCACAAAGTCTTTCTAAAAATGTTAAATATTTAGAAACCATATTCTAAAATCTCCCAAAGGACACTGGGTAAGAATAAACATAAGTATTCAATAATATCAATGGCACAGCAGATAAGAACAATATCTCAAATAAAATTTCTCCAAAGTTCCTACAATTTCTTGATTTTTTTCCATTATACATCTGTCACTAATTATATTTATTTGCAAATTTAAGCAGGAAAAAAATCTAGTAAGTGGACCAAAACTGAGAAAAGAGCCACCGACAGCATTTACAGAGAATGGTGACTATAGCTCACACAGGAGCCAGCAGAGAGGGAGGGACATTTCATAATCTACAGGACATCAATTAGATTTACTAATGACTGGCTTACCTTATAAGTGTGTGGGGGGGTCGGGGAGGGGGACGAAAATAAATAATGCTTTGGCCCCACTCAACAAATCTTAAAATTAAGATCCCCCACAATTAAACCTTTCCAAGTAACTTTATGATATACAAAAACTTTGTTCAAATATATTTAAGAAATATAAAAATATTCAATACTCAACATGATAAAATTTACAATGTCTGGCATCCAATTAAAAAAAATCTGGCATGCAAAGAAACAAACAAAATATAACCTATAACAGGGATAAAAATCAATCAAAACTGATCCAGAAAAATGACATAGGTGATAGTAGTGAATGCCAAAGACATTCAGACACAGTCCACATGCTCATGAAGCTGGGGCATAAATTAAGCTGTTAAATAGAGACAGAGAAGATATATAAAAACAACCAATCAAACTTATAGAAGTGCAAAATACAATGTGTGACATAAAAAATACACTAGATGGGGCTAATGGTAGATAAGACATTGCAAAAGAACAGTGATAAAATTGAAGACACAAACATAGCAACTACCTAAAATGTAACAAGGAAGGAAGGAAGGCTAAATTGTTGAAAAACTTCAAGTCGTCAAATAGTCCCTGAAGGAGAAGAGAGAGAGAAGAGGAGCAGAAAAATATTTGAAGAAATAAAGGCTGAGCCTTGGCCAGTTTGGCTCAGTAGTTAGAGCATCAGCCTGCAGACCAGAGAGGCCCAGGTTCAGTTCCCCCTAAGGACACATACCTTGGTTGCAGTTTGGCCCCAGCCTTGGTTGGGGTCGTGTGGGTGGCAACCAGTCAATGTGTCTCTCTCACATCAATGTTTCTCTCTCTCTCTCTCTTCCTCTCTCTGTCCCTCCCACTCTATCTGAAGATAAATGCAAAAAATGTCCTCGGATAAGGATTAAAAAAAAAAGAAATAAAGGCTGAGAATTCTCCAAAAACATAAACTCAGGGATTCAAGAAGCTTAACAAACCCAATACAAGAAACAAGAAAACTACACACATAACATATCAAAATCATATTGCTTAAACCCAGGGACAAAGAAAAAATATTACAAGCAGTGCGAGAGAAAAAAAAAAAGATATTATGTACAGAGGAACAAAATTGGAATGGCAGCAACTTCGCATCTGAAACATTGCAAATTAGAAGAGAGAGAAGCAATATCTTTAAAGTATGGAAAGAACCAAATTTTAATTAAAAGGAAAAGAAAAACAGCCCTGGCCAGTTTGACTCAGTTTGACTGGCCCAAAGAGTCACAGGTTCTATGCCAGTCAAGGGCATATTGCAGTTCAGTCCCCAGTCCTGGTCGGTGTGCGGGAGAGAACCAATCAATGTGTCTCTCTCACATCGATGTTTCTCTCTCTCTCTCTCCCTCCTACTCTGTCTGAAAAAATAAAAATGGAAAAAATATCTTCGGGTGAGGATTAAAAATAATAAATTTAAAAAAAGAAAAATACAGATAATCTCATTATACCTGGGGGAAAGTAAGAATCACTTTTTTAAGGCCCATTTTGAGTTTCTTTATTAAACACCAATACATATTTTTTGCTTTTATCTTTCTAAAGGATCCACAGGTAAGATCTTGTATTAAATATTTACAACATATAATAAATATCATTTAGAAAAACTTATAAATTCATTTGATATTTAGTAAGTCTATTTATGTTAAAAAATATAAATGAATATTTACATGTAATCAATAAAAATTATAATTCATAATTTATTAAAACCTTATCACTCTAAGTTTAAAGCCAATTGGAAGGAGATTTAAATTTCTAAGTAAAAATGTAAACTATATTATAAACATTAAAGGTAGATGTCATTACATGAATTATTTTTATCCCAGATTTTATTTAAAAATCATAACCACATTGTCAAAACACTGTGAGGCCAATTGGTATAAATTACTCCATAAATTTAACCTTTTGTAGGCCTAATTTTTTGAACAGTTGGACTCAACAGTCATTTCTTTAAATAAATCCAGCATATCCAGGTTGGAAAACTGGTTTACCAAAGGAAATCCACTGATATTTATAGACTACTTCAGAACTCCAGAGTGACTTTTAATGAATGGCAGTTTCCTGCTTTGCAACCTGCTGCCCAAGCTCTTATTTTTAAAGTTAAATCATATTGTTATGACTAAACAAACTATATATGGTATGAATATTCAAACCTATAAAACAGCTGGTTCTGTGTTTCATTTTTATCTTATGAGTGCCTTTAAAAATCAAATTTTCCCAGAATTCTTTCAAGGTTACAATTTTTTTTAAATCTGAAAACTGATATACTCTATATAAGCCATAAATCACTTAAAAATCTTACTCCTCACCAAGACATGAGGATAATGGTAAAATAATGAAGTCTAATCATTAGGTTTAGTTCTAAGAAGATAAACTAGGTGAAGTTAAAAAAAAAAAGAAATGTTGCTTCTTTTGTAAATGCATACAAAATGCATTTTTAAACTCTCAACCTTTTGTGTGCTTTTCTGAATACGTAATTCAGGAAGGTAATTATGAGATAATGCCAGACAATTTTAGACTCTGCATTAACTCCTCCAGGTTGCTAAATACTCTAAAGTCCTGCCTAACTATTGAAACTTCATTGCTTACAATGGTTAACAAAGCTTCCAAAATCCTACTTGGCTCATTTTTTATACTCTTCTTGATCTAGTCAGAATCTGTTGTAAAATTTCTCTGTTTAAATCTCCCAAATGTAAGACATTATATGATAGTCTTCTTCATTATATTTTATAACTGTAATTTGCAAAGGTCTTTGCTTTTATAGATAAATGCTATCTAAGTGTAGCCAAGAAAACTAACCAGTACAAAAACTGAGAAATTTCACATTACCAGCAGGGGAAGCCACATGATATGTGCTAAATATACATTTATAATTTGCTAAGAAGTAGCAACATTAGTGTTTTCTGAAATTTCCCTGACTTGAGATATAAATAATTATTATTTTCCTTTTTTTTTCTCTACAATATTGACCTATATCTCATACATAACACTCAAAAATATATATATTGATCTTTCTATAGATACGTTTTGAGATCACACTGTGAGAGGCATTATAGGAGTGAAGAAGTTAAACTAAGTATGACACGGTCCTTGATTTCAAAGAACTCATGTCTTTGAGAGGTAAGGGGAATGGGTGTGGGACTCTGTGGATAGGGACAAGCCCTATAAAAGAGGTAGATACCATTGAAAATGAGTGGATGAAGCACAGAATTACTGTTGTGTTCAAGGGGAAATCATCAGAGTGGATGTGAATACACCAGTCATTCACCAGGTGGGTAAAGGTTAAGGGTGAGAACAGGAAAGATCGCAGCCAAAAGAACAGACAGAACACGTGTATGTATATTGATTAGGGGCACGAGGCACCTAGCTACCCTGCTAACAGCCTTTAGGGAGCCAGTGATGGCCCACAGTGCAACACCCTTGACTGGGAGTCAGGGCAGGTCTATGGGAAGCACTTTCAGCAGTCGATAATGTGGCCAGCTCTTCAGAATGGCTTGTATGTGAGAAAACCTTAATACACAGGATCTAGAAATACCAGGTCTATGAAGCAAAATGGAAAGGGTCTGAATTTCCTCCAATGCCAAGAGCGAAGTCAAAATAAAGCCTAGGGTGAATCAAAAAGAAAAATGGGCGCAGATAGCCTGTCCTTTCTAACAATGGAAGCTATAAAATCTGAACCATTTTATTCTGACAATAACACTTTCTGCTGTAATGAGGAGGGATATTTCTCTCATATGTGGAATCTAATGAACTAACAAGCAAAACAGAGACAGACTTCATAGATAGAAAGCTGGCTGACAGCTGGGGGGAGGGGGCTGAGGGGCATGGAGGGACTAAGAAAAAAAAAAGGGAGAAAAAAATTCATGGACACAGACAACAGTGTGGTGTTTGCCAGGAAAGAGGGATAATAGGAGGTAAAGGGGGGTAAATGGTGATGGATGGAGACTTGACTTGGGATGGTGAATACACCATACAACGTGCAAATGACGTGTTATAGAATTGTGTACCTAAAACCTATATAATTTTGTTAACCACTGTCACCCAATAAAAAATAATTAACTTTTTAAGTCATGTCCACAGCTGTAAACCCTATAAGTATTGCATAGTACATATGTGGGCAATAATTATGGCAATGTTGGGATATCACAATATTCTGTGCAGATTGAGCACTGCAGAGATACTCCTTGCTCCCATTTATCAGCCTGGAGATAGTGCCACTACTCAGCACCTCCAGAATGAAGATATCCACAGGTCCTTTCTGTGTCCTCAAGACCAAAAAAGCGAAAGCTTCCAGGGAAGGAGTTGTATTGAATTCTCAATCTGAGCAATCTCTTTCAAGTGGACTTGATGAGTAGTATCCCAATATACTTCTATAAGTGCCTATAAGATTTTGAACTAAAGTCTGGCAGGCTTCCAGCAATCTTTTCCAACAGTTAGATACAAAGATTTTTTTTAATTAAAACTTTATTCAATGATCAGTGAACTATTTCACCAGGTTTTCTTCTTTATGTGTCCTCAATGGGAGGTCAACTACCTTT